CGAGTTGAGGAGGGGTGGATAGCACCCAAAAGGGAGGTTTTGGAGGCACAAGCCTTGACGATACCTCTAGTCAGTAAGGTGGGGAGGTGGAGGAGAGTGCCGCCATGGATGCGAAAGGAGGTGGTTAAAGGGATTAGATGAAAGAGGAACCTCCGTAGGAAATGGGTACTGGGGCAAATAGACAAAAGGGTATACTGGGAGGAGGAGGCCCGTTGCACAAGGAATCCTTCGCAAGGCTAAGGCTGTTTAGGAGCTGAGACTTGCCAAGAATACCAAGAGCAACAAAAAGGGCTTCTTTCAGCATGTAAATAGGAAGAGGAAGGGGACACAAGTGGTGGGACCACTAAATAAGGAGGAAGGAGATCCAGGGACTGATATGAGGGAACAGGAACAGATGCTAAATGACTATTTTGCCTCTGTGTTCTCCCCAAAGCAGGACGGGGGATATCCGCATAGGAGATTAGATGAGGCTGGGGACTTAGAAGCACAGATTAGAGTCACCCCCCCTTGAAGTCGAGGGGCTCCTCAGGGCATTGGACATTACAAAGGCGCCTGGCCCTGATGGGTTACACCCAAGAGTACTTAGAGAGTTGGCAGGGGTTCTCTCACGCCCACTGGCCTCCATTTTTGAGGCCTCCTGGAGAATGGGTGAAGTTCCAGACGACTGGAGGGTGGCATCAGTGGTCCCAATTTTCAAAAAGGGTAGTAGAAAGGACATGCGGAATTATAGACCGGTTAGCCTTACGACCATTGTAGGAAAAACAATGGAAAGGCTCATAATAGAGAGAGATCTAGTGATGCTAGATAGGGAAGGGAGGCTGACAGCCACACAACACGGCTTCTGCAAAAATAGGTCCTGCCAGACAAACCCTGTAGAATTCTATGACAAGGTTTCAAGATGGCTAGATGGCGGGGATGTGGTATACCTGGATTTCAGCAAGGCCTTTGCAAAGTGCCCCATGATATCCTGGTGGAGAAACTGAGGAGATTTGGGATACACCAAAGCACTGTCCAGTGGATTAGGGCATGGTTGACTGACCGAAAGCAGAAGATAACCATTAGTGGGGAATCATCAGGATGGCGGCCAGTGACAAGCGGGGTCCCCCAGGGTTCTGTCCTGCAGCTGATCCTGTTTAATCTTTTTCTTAACGACATCGAAGAAGGGGTGAACAGTCTGCTGTTCAAATTCACAGACGACACTAAAACTGGAGCAGTGGCCACAACTGAGGAGCAGGTACTCCAGATCCAAAAGGATCTGGACAGATTATGGAAGTGGACAGGAGACAACAAGGTGGCGTTCAATGTGGATAAGTGCTAGGTCTTGCACTTGGGGCATAGGAATAGCTGTCATAAGTACAGGTTAGGGGACAAGTGGCTGGAGAGCAGCACTTGTGAAAGGGACCTCGGGGTGCTGGTTGACTGCAGGCTAAACATGAGTCAGCAGTGTGATGCGGTGGTCAAGAGGGCGAACGCCACCCTTGGTTGCATAGCCAGAAGTGTGGCTTCTAGATCAAGAGAGGTATTACTGCCACTCTACACGACTCTGGTGCGCCCACAACTGGAGTACTGTGCTCAGTTTTGGGCCCCTCATTACAGAGAGGATATAGCCAGGTCAGAGTCAGTGCAGCGTAGGGCCACAAGGTTGGTGGCCGGTTTGTAGGGGATGCCGTATGAGGCGAGACTGGGGGAACTGGGTCTCTTCCGCCTGGAGGAGACTCAGAGGGGACATGTTGGTGACATACAGGTATGTGAGGGGATGTCACATGGAGATGGGTAGAGACCTGTTCTCCCCTGCAGAGGAAGGCAGAACGTGCTCCAACGGAGCAAAGCTCAGGGAGCCAAGGTTCCATTTGCATGCCAGGAAGGACTTCCTGACAGTCAGGACCCCAAGGGTGTGGAATGGGCTTCCACGGGAGGTGGTTGAGTGCCCCATCGGTGCGGGTGTTCAAGGATAGGCTGGATGTCCACATGGTGGGCATGTCGTGAGCAGAGCCAGCTGGTGCTGGAGGTCAGACTAGATGGCCCGGGAGACCTCTTCTGACTCGCTCTGTTTCTATGTTTCTATGGATTGCACCCTTACAGTTTCTTTCAGTGCAGTGCAACCTGATTGTCCCCTTTGCCTTAATAAAGCTTCTAAGTGGGAACCTGGGATTTGACAGCATACTTGGATGGCCACGCATCTGTCTCCTACCTGATCGATCAGAATTGCTGGGAGGTTTAAATGATACATACTTAATTTGCAGAGGGGTGGTAGCAGCTATAAATTTAGGTCCACCCTGTCAGACAGTTATGGGCTACACACCAGTTTTCCCCAATTGCTGACCTGTATACTTTACCAGTTTACCACCAAAACCAGTTTCTGCTGTGTTTAGATCAGTTAGGGTTCAATTATGTCTGTTCAGACAGAAAAGGGCTGGCTGAAGCATGCTGAGAGTTTTAGGCCTTTTTTCTCTCTAAGCAAATTAGTATTGGACTTTGTGTTTTTTAAGATCCTCACAGTAATGCCGTTTCTTACATTGGTTTTATAATGTGGTTGTAAACTGAATAGTTTTATACTATTCTTTATCATGTTTTGTTATGGTTTTAATTGGTGTGAACTGCACAGCATTTGAACTATTGGGCAGTATCAAAATGCATAGGCAGCTATATTTGACAAAGCAGATAAATAAGCAGCAGAATACAGAAAACAAATTGAAGGTCATCAGCATAGACCTATGGCAGGTGCTTTGAAGGATTAATTCAACAAGAAGATGATTGTCCACATAGAAAATCAGCTAAACCATGCAGTGTCTACCAAAGGAAACAGCACTAACACTGTCAACCTAGCTCTTATCACAAATCCAGTTTATTGTGCAATTAATGTCAAATTGAATGGGTTTTCTGACATTTCATTTCTATATTGCAGCATTTAAATTCTTCACACATGAACCATACAATCTACCACAAACAAGGAGACAGAAAACAGTCATGAACCAAACATAAGCAGAAAGCAAGATGGCCTTGGCTTCAAAAGACAAATTCCCCTTCAGCCACTGTCTCCCTGAGAGACAAAGTGAACCATTTGGTCTCTCCATCCAATGATTTCCAATCCGTACAATGGAGATTAATGGCTTTATCTTGAAGAGATGACATCATTAATAATTTAATTAAATCTACCATCTTACCCTTTCACTTATTAGTTTCACTCAAGTTCATTTCAAGTTCAGTTATGAAAGACATTCTAACTGTTTTGCTACAAAACCACCTCAGCCTTGCAGCTGGCAAGTTATTATAACAAACTGGAGGGGAAATCAAGAACCAAAGAGAAGAAAAAGTACAAAAAAAGAAAGGTAAGGAAAAAAGCAGGGGAAAATCTTTTTTCCTGAGTGGGGCAAGCACAATGAGGCTGAGGAAGTAACCAGTCTTCTGTCAAAGGTTCTCCCAACCTCCACAGGATTGTTCTGCTTTTTTGTTCCATTTTTTTCAATATCCAAGCAAAAATGTCAGAAGTAGGGGCAAACAGCTACAAGTTAAATCTCCACAAGTTAAATGTCATATTAATCTAAGGGAAGTCTGTGCATGAGGGAAGAACCTGTTCATCAGAGCAGCAGCACAAGCAATAATAACTTACGATGCAAGCTGAGAGAAATATTGATGGTCCGTTCCTCCACAAAGCCCTTCAGGTTGGGAATCTTGGCACATTTCAAGATAGTTTGGAAAGAACTGTCACCAACATGGACCCAGCAAACTGTGTCCGTCACGTAGTTGAAGTCCATTGCAGTGGTCTGCTTGGTGCTAGTGGGAATGATGTTAGGAACAGATCCACCATTCAGGTAAGTAGCCATGATGTTCTGAGAGTTGGCAATCAGTAGGACAGGAGGTCGGTCTACTGGTTCTGATAGAGAAAGAAAAGCAGAGATCAAGGCTTAGGTACCAAAGTTTAATTTTTTTTAAAAACAGAACTACATCTTAAGATGGGCCCTACCAAATGCACTTGCAAGGGAATCTTCAGAGTAACGAAGTATGAACAAGTGGGAATTCACTATCTGAAATGTTGGAAAAGGAGAAAAAAACAAAATCTATGTGGAAACTTTTAAGGAAGCGGAGCAAGGAGACCTGCACTGCTGCAAGGAGCTTTCGGTCTACTGACCATCACCAAATGAAAAAGCATTCACACACACACCAAATCACTGCAAATGTGGGATATACCACTGGCAAGGGAATTTCATTCAAGGGGGAAATGTGTAGGGTTTGTGTGGACAGGGCACTTTACAGGCTATATGACATTCTAGACATTCCTGATGAGCTGAGCTGGCAGCTCCCTTTATGAGCACCAACAATATAGCAGCCAGCCCATGTTTATTTAGAAGAAGCTGAAGCTAATACGAGATTGGGCCCTGCCAATTAAAAAGAACAGAAGTGAGAAGTGTCTTGCAGAGTATGGCAGCCATGACACAGTAGAATTTTTTACCATTTTTGGCTTTGCAGGATTTGTGATCAGGCTGGAGCAGGTACCCCTCCACACAGCTGCATGTATAGGAACCATCATGGTTAGTGCAGGTTTGGCTACAGGTGCCATAAATGGTACATTCATCAAAATCTGGAAGAGAGAAGAGAGAAATTAGAGCATCCTCAAAGGGGTGGAGACCAGATTCAGTCTCTAAAAATTTAGAGCAACTTTTCTGAAGTATTTAAGATTGCTAAATAATTTTTCCCAAACTAAAAGATGCAAATTAAATTAACCAAATACCCCTTTAGCAGATATAAAATATTCCTCATACGATGCAGGTGAGAGATTGGGTGAATGGGGTGGAAACACTGCAATTTAAGAAGAGTATCCACAGCTACAGATAAATGGTTGGAAATGATTAAGTAAATCCATATTCAATTTGTCATGGAAGGCTTTCCAATTCACTGGAACATTGTCCTGCATAAGCTATGGAAGAATGAACGGGAGCTGCACAGGCATGACATCGATTCATTTCCTTTGGAAAGCGCATGATTCTGGAGGCTTGTACACCAGGCTGAGAGGCCTCAAAAATGTATGTGTCTTAAGAAGAATTTTGAAGAGTTGTGTCTGTGCTATTTTGTGATCATTAGATGCCTGCACCAATTCCACATCTGTTTCTCAATCAGCCAAAAAAGTGGTCTGAGGAGAAGTCAGCTGACTTATGCAAAGCATCTGTCACTATTACAAGCCTTTAAGAACTTGTTTACTGAAGGATGTCTAACTGATAAGGATAAGCTGGAATTCAGAGTTCTTGGCTAAGAGTGAACAGCACTAGCTATTTACTGCTTGACACCTCCTGAGCTTGCAATTTCTTCTTTGATGGAACCACCCAGACTGAATCTTTTTTAAAAGCCAGAACACAAATCAATCTGAAAGGAATTTCCTCTGATAATCATTTTATTGTGGTGAAGAAAAGAGAAAGAGCCTGATTTTCATTAGCCACTCAAAAATATGCAAAATGGCTAAATCAGTAGGAAACCAATAGATATAACACCTCTGCATTTCTTTTCAGTGATGGCTGTCAAAGGCCTGGCTTCTGCCCATCTTCTCTTCTGCATTATGGTTGCTACTTACCTTTGCAGCTTTTCCCATCTTCAGCCAGCTGGAAAGAATTGTTGCAATAGCACATTGGACCATTTAGAGTCGGGACACAATGATGCTGGCAGCCCAGAGCTGAGCAGTTTGCAAGTAGCTCTAAAGATAAGAAAGATCAGGGGGATCAGTCAGGCACTGTGAGGATGATTCCGGTTAGAGTATTTCAGGCCAGCATAAAAACCTAGATGTGTGGGAAGTTGCACAAGGAGTTCCAAGGTAACTTTACTGCCTCACAAGCAAACCAGTTCACTATGCTACACAAATTAGAACCAACAAATTAGAACCAATACATCAGGCAGGCAAGCAGCAAAGAGTCCCTTGGTGGGAAATTTGGCACAATCTAAAAAATGTTACCATCTATCCTAGATAGATTGATAGGCTGAGACTGAATGCTTTGTCAGAGCATAGTGTATAAATCTGCTTTGTGCACACCATACCTCAAGTAAAAGTCCTCTTAAACCTGCATTCATCATTATATGTGTAATAATCCTTTGGGGGGGGGGGGTTAAAAACTTTGCTCCCAGTGGTGGTGCTTAACCAAAGTTGTACACTTGCTACATCGTCACATAAAAATGTTTTAATTAATTAATTAATTAATTAATAGGAATTGCTGAGCTGTGCAACCAAAATCTTTTGGGTAGGGGCTAGACTATGTGCATTTGGAGCTTACTCTTTTTAATCTCCTAAGTGCTTTGATGAAAAGTGCTTTTTTTAAAAACGAGCAGATTAATTCTTCCTAAAAAGCAACCTTCTGTTGCATACCATAAGAAGCTGCCTTACACAAGGCCAGACTAGTGCAGCACTGCCAATTTTGCAAGTGACTCTCTCACACCTCATGCAGAGATTTTTCACAACCCCTGCCATCTCATCCTTTCCTTTTTTAAACTAGAGATGCCAGGGATTGAACACTGAACCTGGGACTTCTGCATGCAAGGTATGTGCTTCACCACTAAGCAATGGTCCCTCCCTGAATGCCAGTCTTCTCCCTCACAATGTTAAACTCCAACTCATTTGCTTGATCAGCCTGTAAGCCAACAGACCGAATATGCTTCAAATGCTGAACAGCTGCAATGTCAAACATTACACAGGCATTGTAAGCTGAGCTGGCCATTGGTACACGGAGACAATATGGACCAGTAGCAATAACAGGGCAATAACCGGATGCATTGTAACAGCCTGGCAGAGCGTTGCTCGTGGGCATCAAAGCGAACAGGAATACAAACACAAATACATAGTGATAGGTCAAGGATAAACTCACAGCTACTATCTCAAAGCCACTGCAGCTATCACAGATCTATCTAAAGCAGGAACTGGAATATTTAAGGCTAAAGAAATGGCCAAAAAAGGGTGGACTGTGGATGGGAACATAGCCAGATAGAGTATAACTGTGAAACTTGTTGCTCACTTCTGTATATGCACATTCATTCATTCATTGCCCTTTGATTCTGAATTTGTTAAAATACAGCAATTCCATTCCTTTTCTCAGTGCTGTGTTGACTGCTGGGCATTCAAAATTGATACTTCTATCCAAAAAGTTACTATCCACCTATGCAGTTCTATTGAAGAAGGAATCTAGGAAGACATCTGATGCTGATTCAGCCCCTGGTCCAGTCCAGTTGCCCAGAACTGGCAACAGCTCTTCTCAGTTTCAGGCAGGAATTTTTCCAGCCCACGCCGTAGATGCTGGAGACTGACCCTTAGGCTTTCTCCCTAATGAAAGGTTGCTGGTTCCCCAAATACAGTTGATCACTTTCCCTTATTTCTCAGTTTTTGGAAAGTATCCCCCAGACTGTGTCAGTTAAGTGGTTGCTACTCAGCACTGCACCATAGGCTAGAGTTCTGCATCCCTCACGGGACCACAGAATAAAATGTCATTAGAAGCTCCTCTGTCTGCTGCTGTAGTTACCTGCAACAGGTTTAGGAATTAATTTTTCTTAATAATTCAGGCCTTTCACAAATACCACCAAACAAAAATTGTTTCACCCTTGGGGGTGGGGTGGGGCTGGGCCAAGGAAACTCAAGGAAGATTCAAAGATTTTGAAAAGCCCTCAAGCATGGCATTCCACTGAGTCCTGAAATGGATTCTTGGCTTACCCCAAACCTGATTCATCTCTGAGCACCAAAGTTATGAAGCCAGAGGGCACCTGCAGATAGCACTGCTAGCAACTTTTCCCGATTGTGTCTGGCCTTCATGGTTGCATTGATGGCTGCAATAGCAGTTAATAATATTTCCATCTGCCTCCTATTCCTCCCAAAGCAAGGAGGAGATAAACTGAGCTAGCAATGAACTCTCTGGAACAGAGATTTCTGTTCATTTCACACATAACCAAAAGCAATCCAAGATTTCACCAGAGAGAAGGAAGGGAAAGTTTCTCCATTTTGATAAACAAATCAGCATGAGTTTTAGTCATTCTCCCAGTAGCTAACAGTCATGGAAGGATGCAATATCATACCCAGGCTAGCCATATAATTCTTGATGCCACTAATGTGGGAAAACAAAAGTTTGCCTGTGCCAAGTTCAATCCTTGACTTCACAAGATAAAAGGAATGGGGCCCCAGGATTTATGGGAGCAGAACAGGTGGTAGAACAGGTTTGGGCAAAAGGAGATCTTTCAGATTTTTTTATATCCCTCCTTTCTCCCACTGTGGAACTCAGGGTGGCTACATGTGATTCCCAGCTAGTCTCCCCTCCAAGCTCAGGCCAGCCCCAGGTCTGCTTAGCTTCAGTATGGTGGATGCCTTATGTGCCTTCAACTCCAAGGAGCCAATGTCAGGGGATAGCCAATGTCAGGTCTGTTGGCAGTTGGTCCAAACTATTTGGAGATCTACCATCTCTCCACCCCTAGCCTATGTAAGCATAGAATAAAAGGTGTGACGAAACATTCACAGTATGGTGAAAGCATGAACAAACATTTGCCATACTCCAAGGCATCTAAGCTGCCAGAACCTGTGTTCATCTTATTTCCACTGTGCTTCAGAACATCAGCTGATCTTCACCCTAAGGCAGCTTTACATGCTTAAATGCCTAGCAGCCAATAAGAAGAAACTACAGTACTGAACTGAATTCAAGAAGTGAGCGACTGCCTGTGCTTCTTGGTCAAGTCTCTGCCTGTGTGTGCTGGACTACCCTGAATGAAGAGGCATATTAGAGAAGAGGTGAGTTCTCTCTTGCCACATCAGCCCACCTCAGTCCTGTCCTATTTATGTGGGCCTTCACTGAGCAAATGCCAGGAAACAAGAATGCAGATTTCCTTTCAAAAGATCTTGTTTTTACTACTGCCAACCAAATGCTCTTAATTTACAGGATTTTTTTTTCCTTTTTTGGATTTCTATATTAAATTCCCAGAATCCATTACATAACCAAATTTCATAAGAAAAAAACTGTATCCAATTGTAATGTTAGAACAAATTAAAGACATACTGCTAGACCAATATAAGCAGTAAGATGCAGGACTTTTAGATCATCTCATAAACCTAAATTCCTAATGTCTTCTATAAAATTGTTACGATCTCAACTTTCATTTAAAAAGAGGTGGGGAAACCTAAATCAGCAGAAAAGCTCTGGAAGCTAAAACGATTCATGGATATCATGTTGTTGTTTTTAAAATCTTACAGTTGACTAGATATGAGATAATTATCTTTTTGATTATCTGGGACAGGTCAGTTCCAGACACACCCACACTGATTCAATTAGATCCCAAAGGCTCGAAAAGTGAAATGTACCAAGTTGCTGGAAATGGCAGTTACTCAAATAAAGCAGCAATGCTCTATGTTTCCGGAGCTCCAATTAATACACAAAGAAACTAGGACTGTAGCTTTTGTGGCTAAAAGGGATACTCACTGTGAGAAGCTACAGTGCACTTTAGCCCACAAATGACTCTTTGTCTCCCTCTCCCTCTCTCAATTCCTCCTTTCCACCCAGAGTGCCACCACTGCCACTTCAGCATTTCAAAGCTGGTAAACTGAGAGCCCCCATGCATATTTACATTTGGTAAATTGGTTTGTAACTGTTTCAAACTGGAATTCATCGTGCTAAGTGTTTCAGGGCAGGCTTACACACGATAATTTCTTCTATTCTCCAGCAGTCGAAAGATCATCTCTGGTCACCAAGCAGTCATAGCTAGAGTTTTCAACAGTGCCCCTTCCATCTGTCTGCTGTCTAAAGGGGGCAGAGATCCAACAGGGGCTCTTCCTTGCCAGCTCAGCCACCGTAGTTGCCATGGCTCCTCCTTCCCAGAATACAGCCTTCCCACAGCCCTTTTAACCAGTGTCGCTGCCTAAAACAGCTCTTCTCTATTGGCCTGGTGGGACTCGCTGCGCTCTTTCCTTGCAGTGGGCTCCGACAGTGGCCATCCCACTTGATTGTCGATAAATTCACCGCAGTTAATTTTGGATGATGAATTTCCTCACCCTTCTCCTCACCCTTATTTCTGCTTCATGTTTATAAGACTTTTTGACCAGGACCTGACTATTTTGATTCTTCACATACAACAAATGCAAGGAGGTATTTATCTTCATCATCCTCCATTCCATGAACATCCCATATGAATACACTGTTTGGGACTACACTCCATATTCCATCCCAGCCCCTTTTTAAAGATGCTTCAGGACCTTGTGAGTCTCACCCACAACCTAGTCCTGCATCCTTTGTGCAACCTTTAGTAAGCCCTGGTTTCTCAGCCTCTATTTTCTGTCTGTAGAATGATGAAAATTACACTCAACCTTATAGGTTTGTTGTTGAGAGCAAATGACAATGAAAATTTGAAAGTGTTAAGCATAATAAGTGTAAACATATGAGAGTTCTAAGCTGTCTTGTGCAAATAAGTAGAAAACAGGATTTGGAAGTACCTATCAGGGAGCCCAGCTTTCTCCCACATTCAGAATGCCAATGCCAGACAAGCCAATCAGCAAATGAACCACTGATTTAGTTTATTGTTTTGCCTTGTGCTTCAAGGCTCAGGTAAATTGACTCTCTCTTAAAAAAAAAAAAAAAGACCCACTACATAGGTTCCTCACTATTTTTAAAAAAAATATAAAAAAATAGAGATGGAAGAGGCAGAAGAGCTTATCTCAAAGCCACCATCTCCTGGTGTTCAGGC